ACAACCAGCAAAACATCAAATATATTTCGGAAATACCTTTGGAAAAGTAAACAGCAAATATGTTTAACCTAGTAAATCCTTAAGAAAGGAGGTAATTTTTTTGAAATTAGATATTGAAAACAATTAAATTTTTTAAGTTTCTTTTTTTTTTTAAATAACTAGACTTTTAAAGTTTGTGAATTTTTAATTTAAATGAATTTGAATTTCTTTTTTTTTATAATTTTTAAATTTGGTTTAGTGTTTAGTTGTTAAATATTTTGGCTTTTTAATATAAATTTTATTTTCTTTACATTTTTTTGTTAAATATATATAAAATAATTTTATATAAGTTTTACGTTTTGTTATTTGTTATTTTATAAAAAAACATTTATTATAATTTCTAACTTTTATTTTTTAAAACTGAATTTTAAAGGGCCAAGAGCAACATTAACAAAACAACTCAGAAAAAATATTTTGAAATTGTCAAAATTTTGTTTAAATGTTTAAGACCAAAATTTGTTTCTATTACTTTTTTTTAAATCTCTGGATTAACTGTTATACATGTATAAAGTGTTATACTGTATAAGCTTAAGTTTTTATTCTAAAATATTATATTTCAAAATCAACTGTTAAAATGTTATTAAACAAGACGTTTATATTTTATATAGTTTTACGTAAAATTACTTGAATATTTTTATTATTTGCGTATAAATTGTGAATTTGCTTCTTTTTTTATGTAATAATATTTATGGGTTTAACTTATAAATTAATGTTGCCATAATTGTTTTAAATTTATAAACCAAAAAAAACAAACTGAATTCTTTATAAATCTAAAAACAAACTAAGACTTAAATAAATAAAATCTTACTAATAAACCACATTTACCTGAACAAATCTTTAAAGTCACAATTAAAAACATTAAAAAAAATTACTAGATTTCTGTATAAAACAATTATACAAATTGAAATCTACATTTTGTGTTTTTTTCTCTAATAAAATCAATTTAAATTTAATATCGTTATAATTTTCAAACTTTTTTTCTCTGCAAAATATGCAATACATCAATGCTTGTCTGCACGCCCTAAAAGTAGTCTTTTGTTTTCTTATTTTTATAATGTTTACTTTAGCTTTTTTTTCCTGTTACTTGTCTTTCTTTACACAAAAAACATTATTTTATATTTAAATATTTACATAATCTCACAACTAATCTCTTATTTAATCAATCTATTTTATTTGTTTAAAAATATCTTTTGAATTGTTTGTTATTTATATTATTTAAAAAAATGAAAATTAAATGAAATCTTGAGAAGAAAAAAAAAATTGAATTACATTTATAAATATTTAAAAGATACTTACTTACTCATACATACATACATAATTTCCTTTTAATTAATTGTATTGTTTAGTTTTATCTTGAGTTCATTTTTCATTCTGAAATATACTATATATATTTAAATAAAACTTTGTTCTTTGTTCTTATTACATTCAGTTGTTTTTTTTATTTTTTGTTATAAAAGCAGTAAACAAAAATGACTTGTAAAATCTTTTATTTACATCGAATTTTTCCCACTTATTTTTTACTCTAGGTTTCTATAACAAAAACAAAATAGTTAGCTGGTTATGGGCGATATTCTTGCTGGGAGAACTTATTTATAAAACATTACGACAGATGTTTAGTTTCACATATTCGAAGTACCAGTTCTATGAACTGAACTAGAACTGGAACTGTACTAGAACTGAACTAAACTGAACTGGAACAGAACTAGAACTGAACTGGGACTGAAATTGAACTGAACTGAAACTGAACTGAAACTGAACTGAAACTGAACTGAAACTGAACTGAAACTGAACTAGAACAGAACTAGAACAGAACAACTAGAACAGAACAGAACAGAACAGAACTAGAACGAACAGAACTAGAACAGAACAACAGAACTAGAACAGAACTAGAACAGAACTAGAACAGAACTAGAACAGACTAGAACAGAACTAGAACAGAACTAGAACAGAACTAGAACAGAACTAGAACAGAACTAGAACAGAACTAGAACAGAACTAGAACAGAAGAACAAACTAGAACAGAACTAGAACAGAACTAGAACAGAAACTAGAACTAGAACAGAACTAGAAGAACTAGAAGAAACTAGAACAGAACGAACAGAACTAGAACAGAACTAGAACAGAACTAGAACAGAACTAGAACAGAACTAGAACAGAACTAGAACAGAACTAGAACAGAACTAGAACAGAACTAGAACAGAACTAGAACAGAACTAGAACAGAACTAGAACAGAACTAGAACAGAACTAGAACAGAACTAGAACAGAACTAGAACAGAACTAGAACAGAACTAGAACAGAACTAGAACAGAACTAGAACAGAACTAGAACAGAACTAGAACAGAACTAGAACAGAACTAGAACAGAACTAGAACAGACTAGAACAGAACTAGAACAGAACTAGAACAGAACTAGAACAGAACTAGAACAGAACTAGAACGAACTAGAAGAACTAGAACAGAACTAGAACAGAACTAGAACTGAACTAGAACTGAACTAGATCTGAACTAGAACTGAACTAGAACTGAACTAGAACTGAACTGGAACTGAACTAGAACTGAACTAGAACTGAACTAGAACTGAACTGGAACTGAACTAGAAGAGAAATAGTACTGAACTTGAATTTTAGCTGTTATATTATCATTTATTTCCTGCAATATCTGCAAGCTCCGAAAAATTGTTGAGTGAAAAGGATTATTACCTTTTCTAATTAAAAAACATTAAAAATTGACTTTGAAATCACAAATAATATAAACGCTTAAATCACAAGCAAAGTTACTAATTTGAAAAATCAACCCTTAAAACTTCTGAAAACTTAATACGCCACAACAGGTTTATGAAATGAAATATTCATAACAAACAAGTAAGAGTGTTATATTCGGCCATGCGAATCTTATATACCCACCATCAAATCATCCTTATAAATTAACTTTGATATTATCGATCTATGTTGAATCATATGTCGATTATTATGAACATCAGGGAAATATTTGGAAGAGGGAATTTAATAAAGGCTTAAGCATGGACCGTGCTCTTCCGAATTAAAAATATTAATTTTGTTTGATCCAATTTATAACCATAAACTCATACAAAACTTGTTTATGTGAAATTTCATCGCTGTAGTCGCATTTGAGCGTTACAGCCAGTAACGAGCGTTACAGTCACTATCTGAGGGGGACCTTATATGGAAGGTGGGGTCAGTTATAGACCGATCCCCATAAAATGTGATAAATAGTTTTTGGCTAGTACAAAACTTGTTTACGTAGAATTTCACTGCTGTAATAGCATTTTTGAGTCAGTAGTGAGCTTTAAAGTAATTTTCCGAAGGGGACCTTATAGGGGGGTATGGTCAATTACAGACTGATCCTCATAAAATTTAGTGAGAGATTGTAGCTAATACGAAAATTGTTCATGTCGTACTCAGTACTCGCAGTTTTAAGCTAGTAATGAGCTTTAAGTCATTTTCTGAAGGGGACCTTACAAGGGGGATAGGGCTAATTAAGGACCGATCCTTATAAAATTTGATAAAGAACTTTTGGCTCACAAAACTAGTTTGTACCTTAAAGTTATTTTCTGAAGGAGACCTTAATACGAAAATTGTTCATGTCGTACTCAGTACTTGCAGTTTTAAGCTAGTAATGAGCTTTAAAGTCATTTTCTCATAAAATTTAAGAAAATGATTTAGTTCCTATAAAAATTTTTTATGTCGAATTTTATTGCTATATATATGCACATATGTTTCTTAAAGTCAGATATGAGCATTAAAGTCATTTTCTGAAGGGGCCCTTGTATTGGGGGTAGGGTCAATATGAACCGATCCAATTACGAAAAATTTATACGAAGAGATTTAAATTCTTATAAAACATGTTTGTGCCGAATTTCATCGCTATTGATGCTTGCTCTTAGCAGTCATGGGCGATAAAGTAATTTCTGAAGGGGACTTATAGGGGGGTAGGGTCAATTATGGTCCGATCCTTATAAAATTATATGAAGAGATTTATGTTCCCATAAAACATGTTTGTGCCGAATTTCACCGCTATTGATGCTTCTCTTAGCCAGTTATGGGCGATAAAGTCATTTTCTGAAGGGGACTTTATATGGGGGGTAGGGTCAATTATGGGCCTATCCTTATAAAATTTTACAAAGAGATTTATGTTCCCATAGAACATGTTTGTGTCGAATTTCACCGCTATTGATGCTCTCTTATCCAGTTATGGGCGATAAAGTCATTTTCTGAAGGGGACTTTATATGGGGGGTAGGGTCAATTATGAGCCTATCTTATAAAATTTTAAAAAGAGATTTAGGTTCCCATGAAACATGTTTGTGCCGAATTTCACCGCTATTGGTTCTTCCCTTAGCAAGTTATGAGCGATAAAGTCATTTTTGAAGGGGACTTTATATGGGGGGTAGGGTCAATTATGGACCGATACTTATAAAATTTTACAGAGAGATTTAGGTTCCCATAAAACATGTTTGTGCCGAATTTTACCGCTATTGATGCTTCTCTTAGCCAGTTATGGGCGATAAAGTCATTTTCTGAAGGGGACTTTATATGGGGGGTAGGGTCAATTATGAGCCTATCCTTATAAAATTTTAAAAAAAGATTTAGGTTCCCATAAAACATGTTTGTGCCGAATTTCACCGCTATTGGTTCTTCCCTTAGCAGTTATGAGCGATGAAGTCATTTTCTGAAGGGGACTTTGTATGGGGGGTAGGGTCAATTATAGACCGATCCTTATAAAATTCTACGAAGAGATTTAGGTTCCCATAAAACATATTTGTGCCAAATTTCACCGCTATTGGTTCTTCCCTTAGCAAGTTATGAGCGATAAAGTCATTTTCTGAAGGGGGCCTTATATGGGGGCTAGGCGAAATTGTGGACCGATATTGCCCATTTTCAATACCAAACAAACTGCATCAACTAGAAGTATCTGTGCAAAATTTCAGCTCGCTAGCTGCTTCATTTGGACTCTATCGTGTTTTCAACAGACAGACAGACAGACAGACGGACAGACGGACAGACGGACAGACGGACAGACGGACGGACATGGC